AAAAAAAAAAAAAAAAATTTCTCTAGAATTGCCAAGAGGGCAGCGCTTGTGGCTCAGTGAGTAGGGCGCTGGCCCCATATACCAAGGGTGGCAGGTTCAAACCCGGCCCCGGCCAAACTGCCACAAAAAATAGCCAGGCATTTTGGTGGGTGCCTGTAGTCCAAGCTACTTGGGAGGCTGAGGCAAGAGAATCACCTAAGCCCAAGAGGGGGAGGTTGCTGTGAGCTGTGATGCTACAGAACTCTACCAAGGGTGACAGAGTAAAACTGTCTCTAAAAAAAAAAAAAAAAGAATTGCCAAGAAATACGAGCTCTAAACTCCAGTTAATTCTGCCACCCAACTGCTTTGCAATCCTAAGTGACCTACCACTCTTTGGTAAACTGGTCTGTCGACCTAAAAATCATGTTTAAGTAGTGAAAGGTGGTAGGACCCAAATAAAAACCTGATCCCTTTCTAATTTGTGTTAGAATGGAACAGGAGGAAAAGGCAGAGAATAGGGAGGGTTGTGTTAACCCAATAATATCATTTAAAATATCATTTCCTTTTTCTGATTTAACATATCTCTCACAACAAAAAATTAAATTCCAGTAAATTGTTTCTCTAAAAACAGTCGTTGGTTTCTTATTTATTTTCAACTCAATGCACATTTACTTGGCACACGAGATTTACAAAGGATGATATTGAGGACAGTGGGGAACCTGGGGGTGAATATAACTCTGTCCCTTTTGTCAGGACATGATACTTGGTTAGTGTTTATATGTTTTTTTTTTTTTGAGACAGAGTCTCACTATGTCACCATCAGTAGGGTGCTATGGTATCACAGCTCATAGCAACTACAAACTCTTGGGCTTAAGTGATTCTCCTGCTTCAGCCTTCCAAGTAGCTGGGACTATAGGCGTCCACCACAATACCCGGCTCTTTTTTGGCTGCAGTTGTCATTGCTGTTTTAGCTGGCCTGGGCCAGGTTCAAACCCGCCAGCCACAGGCTCTGCCAGTTATATATATTCTTGATCACAGAAAGTTTTATGGCTCTGCGCCTGTGGCTCACGTGGCTAAGGCGCCAGCCT